CAATTGGCAGGCGTTGTGAAAGTTATCATTAGCACTTTAGTTGACCTCAGGCTTCACAGAGGAGGAGGAACATCAAGGTGAAACAAGTCGAGGGGGAGAGGAGGAACAGAAGAGAGTTTCAAAGATGTAAAAGAGACAGACACAAATGCATAAAAAAAAGGTGAGGTGAGTACTGCGGAAGTAGTCGAATATGACATACAATGGGATGAGGGTAGTTTGAAGTCAGAAGTCAACGGCCAGTTAATAGACTTTTTGCCTTATGAGTATACGTTGCCCAGGGCGCACCACGTGGAGGTAAGTCTATCGCACACTCCAGTCCTCTCAATTATTGTTGGCTCTATTTGTTAGATTCAGTCTTTACATTCGATTGGTTGTTCTTTGAAGGTTCTTAATGGTACAATATCGCAGTATATTGAGTATATTGTAAATGATTTGGTAGATAGGGGGGGGGGGTTGCATTTGACAATATTGGGATATTAGTCCCATCCAGGTTCGAGTCTTAAAGTGATTTTATCATTTTGTCTGCCGCATTGGGCCTGGATTCCTAATCAAATAATAGCAAAACGATTATGCTTAAGAGCAATTTTAATTTCCTCTCCATTGCTTTTCATCTTTTCTCCTAAGTGCTTCAGCATTCTTACCTTCCCTAGTGATGCATTCCTCGTGTAATGCTTTATACATCATCTGTGTGTGTGTGCGCGCACATGTGTGTGTGGATTCTTCCTAATTACCATTCAGTTCGAAACCGCTCGTTGGGAAATATTCATAGTCTTGTGTGAGAATAATTTTGTAATACTTTTGAAATTTCTACAAACAGTTTATGCCAAGTGCGAATTTTAGTAGTAAAGCGAAGAACAGAGTTTATCATTCTTTCTTTGATCTTTTTTAAATTTGTCTCTTCTCTGGTTTGGTTTCTCATTGAACAAATTAGTCGTTTTGGCGTGGCCTTTAGGCCGGCATGCTTTTAAAGGTTCCACGCGCACTTTCTTCTACTTAATTAAATCCACCTCCTAAGGAGTAAACATTGAAGCAATTCGTTTGAATTAACTAATACTAACAGAGTAATATATCCACGTTATCTTTCTTTCACTATTTCAAAAAATTAATTCCTATTTCATAGCATTCTTTAGTTGTTGTCACTCAACTTCTGTTTAACCATTTTGACTGCCTTTGTATCGATTTGAGCATGTTTCACCAGTGTTCCATCATCCCCATTGATCTCTTCGTTATTACAGAATTTCTCCCCTGCGTCACACTCGTTCATTTCTCTCCATTCTCCCTCGAGTACGTTTCTTAAATCCAAAAGCGCGAGCCGATCTGGAGAAGTTATTTCTTGGAAACAATGCACTCCGGTTTAATTCGAATTATTGACCTACTTGATTGCTCTCTTTAATCTCTTTACACTCTTCCTACTACTTATTTTGATCTACTGAAATGATTCAAAATGTCACTTTCTGAAAAAGGCTCAAATGAGCCACCCCTACCTATTTTTTCAAGTTGTTGTGACAGGGGTGAACTGTGTCAAGCAGCTGGAAGTAGACTAGGGCTTATTATCGAAAATGCAACAAATGTTACGAGTACTGTGCATCTTAAAATTTTTACTCTTGTTTCCTCTTAAGTTACTGAAATGGGACTTTGACGCGCCAACTAAGGATCACGTTCAACAACTCAACACCCTCTTCCAAGCCGCTGGTGCTTCACCCGATCTGCATTCTTCTCTCTTCCACACCGACTTCAAGCAACATATCAAGGCTGTGGATATTCTCACGCGTTTATTGGAAGGCGGTTGGTCTTCAGTCGATGGCGACATGGCAACACGTGCCAACCTGGATCTCATTCTCCGATGGATGGTTCTGCGATTCTTTGAAACCAGCCCTGCTTTCCTTGCTCGCGGGTTGGAGTACCTCCTGAAAGTATTCTCCAGGATGTCTGATGCGGAGCAGCAGTTGACTGAGCATGAGGCATCGGCTTTCTTGCCTTATCTGGTCATGAAGGTGGGAGACTCAAAAGAGAATATTCGGAGGGATATTCGAGCCATATTCAGAGTTATGACGAGTATTTATCCACCCGAGAAGCTGTACACATACCTTATAGGTGGACTCAAATCAAAGGTTAATAAGGCTCGACAAGGTTAGTCTTTATTATCATTGTCAAAAGATATTGAATTGTAACAGTTATAATTGTGGAAATCTGAGAGTATATTAAAAAATTAAGTTGACGATGGGTTCTCTCTGTACTCAAAAGTGAATTAAATTTAAAATATCGTCAATTTCCATCTCGCACTTTTTCATTCTATTCTGCTGAATCTTGTTGGGCTTGGTAGGCCTGATAAAAAAAATTACTAGCAAACCCCTAAGACTTTTGATGTGCAAGCTTTGAGAAACAGGAGGATTTCTTGGAGTTATCGTTTGGAAGTAAATTCATGCTTCTAGTGGTGTCAAATACTATATGTTCAGGTTAGTTAAGTGGTTGCAATTAGTTACCAGAAATCCCAGTAAATGATCTTTTGAGGGAGAATTAAGTAAATGCTGAGATCAACGTCAAGGTTTCAAGGTTGCTATGCTTCAGTTGGTTTGTATGGGATTCGAGTTGTGAAGCATTCCAAGGTTCTAGTTCCCTGGTTCTTTTCTTTGTGTGCCATACAAAATTTTAAGCCTACTTTATCTACTGCTTGTAATCAAGAAGCCCTGCCATCGCCACCTCAATTCATTCTTTCTTTCCGCACTTGAGAAGGCAGAATGACTTGAAGTGATATTCACCATCCTACAGTTTTGACATGGCGTTGATGAGGTAACAGAGCTCCTTGGGCTGTGCTCGCACAGGTCAACTAATTGATTATTGAACCGGTTGTTAGGGAGTGACCTGCTGTAAGGATCTAAATGCTTTGTGATGTTTGCAGCCCAACTTAACGATGGTTGATTTAAGTGGTCAGTGTGCAATTCGACTTAATCAGAGGTCACAAAATAAGCGTTTATGGATGCACTTCTAGTGATACGGCTAACTCGTGTCAAAATGTGAGTTGGTATATTTCGAAGTTATTATAAGAGCGGCTTTGCTATACCTATTATGCTCTCTACAAGTAGGCTTAGGGAGTTTGGTTTTGTAAATTCGTCATAACTGCAAATTGTCCTCAGAAATTCATTAGCATTGTCTTTAGTTAACCAATTTAGTTTAGTATCTTAATAATTTGTTACTATCTTCTCTTCAGAATGCCTTGATGAGATCGGAAGTATGATCGACCACTTCGGCCTGAATGTCTGCCAACCTTCACCAGCTGTGTCTCTCAAGACCCTAGCAGCTCAGATCAGTGACCGTGATTCAGGTGTGCGAACAGCAGCTCTAAATGCCTTGGTCTGTGTATACGCCATTGTGGGCGAACCCCTCTGGAAAATGCTTGGTCAAATGCCTGAGAAGGAGAGGTCCATGTTGGAAGAGAGGATCAAGAGATCTGGACGTCCGAACGCAACAACTGCTGGTGCTCTCAATGCCACTCCAGTAGCTTCTAAGAGGTCGGTGTCAGAAAAACCGACAAATCGAAGGTATGCTTCCGTTGAGACTTTCAGTCTTCTTCCAAACATTTTTTTACTACTATATAATCCTATGTCTAATTCCATTTAGGCGTGGAGCATCAGCTCGGTAAGATAGTATGCTCTTTCCTTTTAGTCTACATTTTTACTTCACATGACCTCATTGAGTGCACACTGTCGATTTCACCTGTTGATCACATTGATTACCTTCTATTTCACCTATGAATGTTAATGGTTGGCTTTTATGCTTCTCTGCTCTACGATTACTACTAAGGCTCTCATTCTCTTATTACACTTAAACTATTCAATTTCTAATCATCCGAACGGGATGTGAACTTGTCCAGTGAAGGACATTAATTATTGACTTAAAAGAAAAGGAATTTCGTTCATATAAGTAATCTTTGTCAAATTAATAGTGTACGCTGTAGCTTTTGACCTATTAAGGGAGTTAGTTCTTATTCCCGTGGTGTTCATACTCTTTTTTGATCAGCTCGATCAACTGACGAGTTTGGTTGTTCTGCTTCAACAACTTGCGACTAGTTTTCTCAAGCACAATAGAGATGATTTCTTCCCATATATGGCTATTGTCTAAAAATTTTTTACCGCTATGAGTTTGAATACTACTAATAGTTATCCAAGTGATATTGTATTAGGTTGGCAACTAAGTCATTGCCGATTTCAAATAAGAAGGCAAATTTGGAATTTTTGTTTAAAAATATAGCTTTATTAAATTAGATATTGGCCGTTCTTGTCGATGATCTTTTTCCATCGTTCTTGCAGAGTAAAAATTCCCCGTTCGTAAAATGTCTGGTCTTTGCTATTAAAAAACTGAATTAGGTGTGATCCGACATCATCCGCGTTGTTAAAAATTTTACCATTTAAAGAGTTTGCATGGAACGAAACAAATGGTAATCCGAAGGCGCAAGGTCAGGGCTATATGGTGGGTGTGACAAAACATCCCAACCCAGTTGCAATAATTTTTGCCGAGTAACCAAAGATGTGTGGGGCCTTGCGTTATCATGATGGAAAACAACACCCTTCCGCCGATTTGATAATGCCGGCCGCTTATCTTCAATTGCATCCTTCAGTTATTCGAGTTGTTCAACATACACATTTGAATTTATCGTTTGGTTCTGCGGCATGAGTTCAAAATACAAAATTCCTTTGTGATCCCACCAGACTGACAGCATAATCTTTTTTTGGTGAATCTCTGTTTTTCATACTGTTTGGGCTGGTTGATCTTGCTTCACCCATGATCTCTTGCGAGTAACGACATTGTTATAAACTATCCACTTTTCGTCGCCAGTAACTAGGTTCTTCCTCGGAAATGGATCATTCTCATTGCGTTTCAGTAGCGGCGAATCACAGATGCTAATCCGTTGCGTCAAATGAATTTCCTTTAACTGGTGAGGGATCCATAAATCAAGTTTCTTGACATAACCAAGGGTTTTTCATTTTTTTTCAATGCATGTATGCGACACATTGAGCTTCTCTGCAATATCTCTTGTTGTCCTGTGATGATTTGAATCGATAATGGCCTTGATATGGGTTTCATCCACTTCGACTGGGCGGCCAGATGGTTGTGAATTTTTCAGTGAAAAATCACCGGAACGAAATTTTTCAAACCAATTTCGACACTGCCTTTCTTTGAAGGCTTCATCTCCATATACGGCACATAACTTCTTTTGTGCTTGCGATGCGTTCTTGCCTTTTCGGAAGTAATACAATAAAATGTGTTGGAAGTGCACGTCCTGTTATTTCATTTTTAAATTGGGATAAAAACAAAACTAAAGAACTAAACAAAAAAAATTTTTTCCTAATTAACCTAGAAGCCCATACAGTAAGAAAAAAATATAGGTTAGATGCTCTGGCCACGTTAACAAAACAAAAGAAAGTATAGAGTGAATCTGTCAACAAAAACGACAATGACTTAGTTGCCCACCCAATAGTTTCGTTATCAAACCCCTCGATCCTTATGCTAATGCTTAATCTTCGTGCTTACTTCTAACTTTAAATAATTTCTGGTAGATTTGCTTATTTTTTGTATGCCTATCTAAAGTTGATAATTTTCGTTTCTAGAGAAACTCAAGCGTCACTAGCTCCACAGCAGGTTCCAGTGACGCCTTACGGGGGCGAAGGAGGAGTCAGAGGGGGTCCGCAGTCGGTTCACGCCGTCGCCTACGCTCGAGCTCAACATCTGCTTAGTGGTCTTGGGGATCTAGACCCCGAGCAACCCTCTGAAATGCCTAATCTCCTTCAATTTGATAGAGATATTAATGAACTCTTCAAACCCATCAAAATCCCCGAACTGAAGTAATTTAGTCTTTCTTTAATGTGTTTGCTGCACCAAAACATAGTGTCATTCTCGTTCGATATACCTAGGTTCACGCATTAAAGACGGCTTTGATAGATGCAACTCGATATTTTGACAAAGTATTAATTTTGTCGCGTTTCCACCGCGTCTTCTTGAAAACCAAATACTTGATAATCAAGTCTCTCGCAAATTTCATTTCGTTTACTTTGTATGCACATTGGCGCGTTTCTATGCGTCTTGCGATTATGCCTATCGTGCTCTCAATGGCCATTTTGTCATATCTCGCTCTTTTTTTAAGTGGGTTGTCGCTCCTCCTCCCTAGGTACTGGGCTTTCTGCATGAGTATTGTAATCTAATTTTCTTTGTCTGACTCAAGTCTTTGAATGTGCTGAAATTGTCCTCATTTCCGTACATGAGATGAAAGGGATGAGATGAAATCCTAATCGATCTTTTATGCTGGTTTCAATGCCCATCGCATTGCAAACTGAGTGGATGGAATGAGCGAGCCTACTGGTTTGCTTTGATCAATGAGGCTCGATCTTGGCACAATTCTCCCTCTCCTTTGCCCAAAAGGCCGTAAGATTACACTGTTTGGAAGTCATTATCCCAGTATAACTTCACCTTCTTGTAGAATTTGAACGAAATTAGTTCCTATTAGCAATTGTGTCGTGTTTGGTAGATAGTTCAGCCAATAGTATTAATAATTTCGATTTTAGAATTAATTTACCAGTGTTGAGAAACCAACGAGTGATTTCCTGTACGCAAAATCAAATAAGCTCAATACGCAAGTGAAATTTGATGAATTTTTTAATTGAGCATGGTAGCAATTGAAGATGCCTCTGCTATAAGGCAGATGTTAGGGAATTAAAGATATAATTAAACTATCATCATCACTCTATCTCAGGTTTGGTGTTATTATTTCCGAAATTCGAATGTCAATTTCTCACTTGAGCTTGTTTTTTTCGTTGTCATTGGTTGCTGTAATTTATCCCTGGGTCTTAATTGTGTCTTCATTTTCATATTGTATTGTTACGCTTTCTTTTGATATCTATAAGTCTCTGAGAGGTGGATAGCGAAAAATGTGTGCTGTAAAGTCATTACACAAATGTGGTGGTTGCATGTTAATTGTGTTTAAATGTTGCACATTTTTCGCTCAAGTGCATTCGCTAACTTCCTCTTTAAATTTAAGGACGCGAGACAAGCAGACGGTGCTGAACTGTCTCCTCCGAACCAGTCCGGATGCAGCTTCTGCCATCACCATGGTAGTGACCCAAGTTTCTTCCAATGATCTCAATTCTTGCTGCTATGCCTTGAGTCAGCTTGATACCTTATTACAGAGTTAGTGCCTGTTCTTCCATATTAATCGTTGTGTATTATTTTCAACAGAAGTAAATCAGTTTTTCTTTTTCCTTTCTAGGTGACAAGTGGCAACTCCTAGTTGGTCACATCAATCAGCTTATCACTCTCATTACAATTCAATTACGACAGACCAACTCTCGTTTCTTCGATGATCCAACTATCTCGGAGGGTGAATTATCCACTGTCCTGAAGTGCCTCTTGGCCACTATTGAGTCGGTGAGTTCGTCCGCAGTTAATGAGTACTTATATTATTAGTCTTCTTTCATTGATTTATCTAAAAGGGTGGCAAGTGCGAAGGCACTTATTCGATAAAAGATAAATATCAAAATATCATTAGTGTAGCGCTCACCTTTTTATCTCAATTTTCTTTGCAACTTGGTGATTAGAGGTTTGGCTATATGCTTTTCCATATTTTAGGTCTTCAAGCGACCCCTTTTGGCACGAGAAGCATCGCGTGAATCGCTGAAAGAGTTTCTCTTTGCCTCCTTGAATCTGATGGTCCACGATAAGACTGCTGAGTTGCCTGAAGGAAGTGGAATCATTAGGGCCATTAATGCAATAACTCTTCTTGTTATCATGGAGTCAAATAGTACTCGCGTTCTTGGGTACGTTTGCCCTACTAACGGGGTACGAATTCGTTTTCTTCTGTTTTTTTTGACACTTAATAGCTCCTAGTAATTGCATTAACTATGTATATGTTGGAGTTGTATGAGTCGAAATTCGCCTGTGATATGACAACACCTGCATGTCGAATTGAAATCAACTTAAGACGCGACTGTAATGGTATGTCGACGAGCTACTTCTGTGTCAAGGCATAGGATTATAATCCCCTTTATACTAACTAGTTTGATTTGCTCTTTCAATTTGTTCCCTTGCAGTTTATTCATTGTCTCTTAATCGTAAAGCAGGCCAGATTCGATTGATTGTGAATGATCGTCCTACTTTAAAATACATAAGTGTGTTTTTTTCATTGTTTATAGTGCCTTTATCCGTCTGTTACATGAGGGTGTAAGCAGTGGACACTTTACCAATCGATTCTCTACTGTCGTTCTACGAGGTCTCTGGAAAATTACTAAAGCCCTACCCGAAACAGGTTTGTTAATCTTTTACATCCTCTCAATTTTTCATTTTCGCGTGTATTCCATTTTTTGCGTTTAAATGTGTGTCTGTGTGCCTCTGCTTCGATTACATTGAAACCCGTTTGCAAACAATCCTTCTGGAGTTATAATCAACCGTACCCGGTTATCGGTCATTAGATGACCGACTGAATGTATGTTTCTGAGACACTCGTTGATCTCATTTTATTTCAGACGGATGCTTGAAATCACCTTCTTTCAATAGCCTTCTGGTCTTCCAAGTCGGAGTCGGTCTTAGTACTAATGTATGATAGATTCTTTAGGTATCTTCGAATTCGCCCATAGGAACGAAGCATCGTGTCCTGATTTCTTGCTGGTAAAATGAAGATTTGTATAATAGAACTGCACAAAGGTCAATATTTATGAGGTTAAACAATGGGTAAATGACTGTAGAAAGTCAACGATTCTAACTGTCACCTGTGTCCATTGTAATGCTCGGGTTTAGCATAGCGGAATGCAAATTTCTCATTCGGTAGAGATTCAGGTTAGCGGTGGAATCGCTTTCCGTCTTCGGACATGGAAATCACTACCGTTAATGTGTTCGCTTTCTTCATATCAGAGATACCGAGATCTCGATCCATTTGTGCGTGAATAAGGTCCCCTGATGAGGTCCTGCTAGTCGTGCTGAACTTAAAAATTTCCCAAAATCCAGAAAGTGCCATTGACTCCTATACACCAAAAATCTAGAATGGGAGCGTTAAGGCCAGAGAGCTTCAAATTGATTTTTGATGTGCGAATTGTGTCAGTATATGGTCATCTATTCGAATTCATGGTCAGTTGGCAGTTAAAGAAGAGATAAATGTGCCGGAAGCTTAGTCGAGGTAAGCCTTTTTTAAAAACTGCCTCGTTAGGCTATTAGGTGCATAAAAGACAAAAATGAAGGCTAAAAAAACTTTGTGAACACAAAGAACGAAGATAAGTGACCCCTTTTGACACCATTCTTCATCTCTTTTTTACGCTTCAATTCCATTACCACTTGACACCTATTTTTTTTCTTGCAGCCAACAACTATTCATTGGATCAGGTTCTTCTTGATTGTCATAACTTCCTTAAAGCGTTTCCATCTCCTTCCTGGAAAACAAGGAAATCGGATCTCCCCCTTCGAACTATCAAAACTATGCTCCATTCCTTCTGTTGTGCTCGAGGACCTGCGGTCCTCAAATTTGTTGATATGATTCCGAATAAGGTATGCTTGTGATTATAAACATAACAGAAAAAATTCTTTAATTCCACTCCTACTTATTTTTATCAAAATGAGTGGTTTAAATACAACTTACTTCATTTCAGGATGAATCAGAGTTGGAAACCTACATGAAACGAACTTTAAAGACTCTCGCCTCTGAAAATGGTGGTAAGCTACCACCGGCACTTCAAACTACTCCAAAGCAGTCCAGCACTCCTCCGAAGGTATGCTTTCTTATCTTATAAAATTTCCCGTTTCCCTTTAGACCATACATCATTTTTTCCCTTTTTTAGACTGCTGTGTTGAGCGCAGACACCCAATCTAGGTTAACTTCTCTCATCACCAAGATCACTTCCTCTCGCGATGAATCTGTGCGTTTTCGTAATTACCCTCGCTACTGATTTTGTGTAAGTAGTTGTCCTATGACGGATTCTTTGCTATTATAGTATATTGAGGAGCTCTTTGATTTGACTTCTCCTTACCCTGATCTGGACCTCCAACCTTATTTGGCCAACTCTACACCCTTCTTCCAAACCTACATTCGACAGGCCCTCTTCAATGTTGGTCTCAAACGTGCTCGAGCTAAATCCAAGCAGGGTTCTAATGTCGCAACGATTAACGGAATTAAGAATGATCAAGTAGGACTTTATTTTGTTCAATTTTAATTTTTACAAGCAAATTCTCACTTACACATGATATCTGTGCTCATTTTCGTTTACTGCTTGTTTTTTATTCTTCTTTCTTACTCTATTCAGGGTTCATAAACCCTAATAGACTACGCACCATCCTTTGCAAAAGTTCCAAGATGTGCTTACTAAGGGTTGTCGTTTCCTTCACTCTCTTCTGCTCGTAAATCAGAAGTGACTTTTGCTTGTATGTGTATTTAATGGTCGCAAAATATGCTGTTCATGATTCACAAATTTATCCTTTTTTTATTCATTACGTAAATAAATTAATGACAAGATAGTGTAGTCGCATTAGCCCTTCCTCTAAGTGGTTAATCGATCGGTCTCAGCTGTCAAACCTTGCGATCTTTGATTAAGCATCTTTCCAATCCATTCGGCATCCTTCTGTCCTCATGTTATTCATTTACGGAGAAGTATCTTCTTTGGTCTACCTGAATGGAAGTATTCGTCCACATCTGTCTTTCTCCTATATTCTTTGTGATGAAATTTTAAAAAAATCTAATGGAGAAGAGAGATAGCAAGCTGTACCTTTTGCGCAATAGCATTTATCTTTACTTCAACTTCTTTTGCTAATTTTTATTTGCAAAGTCCCCCTGCATCTTCTTAACCAAATTAACCGATCGATTTGTGGTTATCGATAGTGAGTTTAATCTTATATTTATACGAGCACAACGCTACCTAGCATGTAAAATTCGCTGAATTTTGTGGATATTATTTCGTCGCTATCAATTTTGATTAAAACAATCGCACACATACAAATACACAAGCCTTTGTGCTTTATTGATAAATATTTTGAACTTCAGCGATCTTATTAACCGTTACACCTAATTGCCTCCTATCTTCATTATCATTTATTCTTCACATTTTTGTCTCGTGCCTATTCGACTCTGAGGCAAATCAGAGTTGAAGGTTAATAGTTTAAAGCCTTTTCTTTGATAAATTTAAATGTGTTGTTTCTTCATAACAATGCTTTTCTCCTGATTATTTATTTTTTTTTCAAAATTCCAGCTTCACTACTAGAAGGACCTTGTTCGCTTTTTTTCTCTTATTTACGCAATCGTTAACATTGCGTCGATAGAGTTCCAAATTTGGGAAATGCTAATTTGCTAAATCCGAAGATTTTTTTGCCCAGCATTTGCGCTTTTCGTAGGAACCACCAAAGTGTAAACTGGCTTAAGGAACTGAGGGTAGATCAAACATCAATCTCAAATTTGCTGTTTGGTGTGTGCATGTTAGTAAATATTTACTTGTTTGATGATCAGCTGGTGCATATCTACAAAATTAATTCAAAGAGAGCTTTTTGTGTTGTATTTTGTCCTTATTAAATTAAATTTGATTAAGTTTCCTCACCGATTTATGATTTATTAAAACCCGTCTATTGTTTATGACATAGTCCAACAGATTAAGACCCAGGAATATTCCAACGTAGGAAATGATTTTCCTGACGGTTTAACTGCCTATCACAATCTTTCTCAAAATGTGAAGATTAAGTGACCCAATGGTCTAAGAAAGAAGAGTAGGAGGTGTTTGGGTTTTGGAAAGAATGGGAAAAGTGATTGACGGAAATTCAAGTTGTGACAAAAAGGGCTTGTTGATTTAGGATGTAGGCGCTTGCAATTTCTAATCATTTGTTCGTTGATAAGCAACCAATAAAAGAAATCATAAATGGGATATCATTGGGATATACAAAGGTATGAACCATTATGTACACTATATGTATCTTGTAATGATTCTCACTTTTGTCTTCCTTAATTTTCATCCTCCCTGAAAAATTAATAACCATAGCACTTTAAATTGTCAATTGACTAATAATGACATCATATCATCATCTAGTTTACCAATAAGAGAATAATGATATCATCTGCAGAAAATTTACGTTAATTTGAGATCAATACAGCTTATGGGTAAAATTAAGGCAATCAAATTAATTAACTAACCGAAAATGAATTATGAATATTATGTAAATTTTAATTTGATTTTTGTCATGAATTAATCCTCATTTCCACAATGTAGTGGAGAAGAGATTTAGGTACTTAAAGCATAGGAAAATTCAATTAAATAATCTTAATTTGGGGTTACAAAGTTGAGTTATTAAGATTATGGTTTTCTATGTTCTGGTTCTTACTTGTTCTCACACGAATTGTGTTAATTTGCTTAGCTTTAACTTGTTTTCTATATTTTGGAACCTTCAGCTCTCTCTGAGCTCAAAAGATTTGGACCAGCAGTCAATGAATCCGAAGTTCTTTATGGACCGACTGGCATCCATACGGAAGGAATTGGGTCTTGAATCCATCGGAGCCAATGATGGAGATAATAGCCAGGATGTGGATGCGGATGGCCGTATATCGTCGGGATTTTATGGAAATACTGTCATGGACTTTACCACTAAGGTACGCTCCTCAAGTTTCAATTTTCCCTTTCTGATAAGCAATTAGATTGGAAATTTTTCTTTGTTATTCTCTACTGCTCAGAATGCCCAGCATTCTCTCTCGACCGATCTTTTAGACCACCTTTAACCTCATCCACCTTCTGATGTGTTGGTCTGATTCGTTGACTGTGTGATGTATCTTTGTCTGATTCCTAATCGAAATACTATTCTCCCTCACTATTCACCTTCACATTTACCTCTATTGAGCTCGGCTCATACCGTGACTCACGCGTGTCTCATACCAGACTAATGCCGACTTGGAGTTTTAACGGTATCAGGAGAAGGCTACATAGACACGTATTAAACATGTATCAAACAGCAATGCCGCCTTCTGTTACGAGTCTAGTACCAATGGAGCTTATTCTGAAAGAGGACCGTACTGTTCTGCAGGGCGTTAAAGGGTTAAAAGTGAAAATGCTTCCTGAAAACCACAACTAGGTTAAGTCGATAATTCTTTACGTCTCCAGATAAGAGTGCCTCTCCTATATTCTACACCGACTTTTTAATAAGCTAATTACGAAATAGTAAAGAAAATTCTTAAATTCAGAAATGAGACGACACTTAGCCTGACTGAATTTCTGGTGGGGGGGGGGGGGGGGAGATGTCTTATTTAAACTTAATTCTCTTTTAAATAGAATTCGTTGAGGTCAGACTGGCGTAAATAGATGGACTTATTATCTGAATCAATATACTACACTCCTTCAAAATTGCCGTACATGTCACCTAAAAGGTCGTCACAGGCACCACCATCCAATCATTTGAAGTTAACTTCATATGAGTGCCAGTTGGCTTATGAAATATAGGATTGTGAACAGCTCTAATCAAGACGAATGTGTAACCACGTAATGCTGTTGTGCATCAAGTTCCGTCGTTCTAATAGCACTGGAGAAGTCATCGGACTATTCACGACATTCAAATTATATATTTTTCCTCTTTAGTTTCTTCTTTTCGATATCTGGGCATATATGGAGCTTATATCGGGTACAAATTATAACTAATACTTATTAATCAGTTATTGATTTTCTCTTTTAGGAGGGTGGTCAGGTAAAGGGAGAAGCCAGTGCCTCAGATGGTACTAGTTCTAATCCGCAGCATGGCGAAAGTGGTGGAATATCCCACACCGACCTGAACGACATTCGAAAACGTCTGGAGGCCATTAAGAGCGCTCAAATGAGGGGCTAGTCAGTCGTTGAGCTTCTCATCTGTTGCCTTTTCAGTCACTTTCAACCGTATTTGTTTCGATACCCTCATCCTTCTTCGGTTTTGACTGTTTTTGTTCTCTTGTTCGTGTCAACTTCCAGTATAAAGGACGCGCATATGCATATGCATATATCCATATATATATGTAGTTATAAACATGCATATGCCTGTACATATTTCTCCCTCTGTAATCCTGTTCCTATCCTTCTTTGTCCCTCATTGTCTGTCCTTTTGTGCTGCCTGCCCCCCTCCCCTGCATTTTTTCGAGTTATATGAAAAGAAAGAGTATTTGACCGAGAATCTTTCCTGAATAAACATATATTTAATGTGTTTCGATCCCCTTAAAAAACGATACCTTTTGTGCAAATTCATCAAACGGTACTTTCGTTTGCCATTTTATATGGTGAGGCAAGGTTTCAAATAATTTGTATGAATCTATTACAACATAAACTTAACACTTCTCACACCCAACTGGGGTGTCCGTACTTCTAACCGTACACTCCGGGATGGCCTTCTGCCTTCAAATGTATCTTGTTTGCTCAGTTTGAATGTTCAGTGCGCTATTCTGTACCTTAAGCTAATGTATGCCCTCAATTTACCTCCTTGTGTTCGCACGGACGTCATATTTTGACTACCCAATACCATACAAGATAGACGTGTTCCTTGTGACCTTTTTGTCAGTATCTCCCCAAAAAAATTACAACTACTGGATTAAAAGTTAAAATGCAGTCCTTCAGCTTTTCTCCATTTGGGATTGAAGCTTGACTCTCTCTCTCCATGGGTGCCTATTCGGGTGGGCGGTTATTTGGTTCCGAAAATAGTTTCATAAAATTAAATTTTCCGTTTAATCGCCCTGGGCGGATTTTCAGAATACCCCGATACTAAGCATGGCCAAGCGGTGGCCATAAATTAGTGGAAAAATAATGGTCACACTCGTATTCGAAGGTATGGACTCGAGTTTCCTATTCAAATCAAATTGGCAGGCTCATCGGTCCAAAAAAAGTAGCTTTTGTTATTATGGGGCCAAAATGTCATTTACTTCAAGTTGATCATCGATTTGGCAATATTTTCGAATTCTGCATAAGGAGCTTCCCCCTTGCCCTTTACTATTTATCGCCTAACCGTCACCCAAAGGGCTTTAAGACACGTTCGGAAACTTAAACACCATCAAACTAAACAATGAAATAAAGAAGTTAGCCCCTTTTTCGAGTTATTTACATATATTATTATTGACGAGTTAACTATTTTTGGAGTGTAGCTTAATGCGTTTTGTTTATAAAAGGCGGTTAATTGGCGTATGCTGTTTATGGAGTTAATAAGACTGCATCTAATCCCGTTCAAATCGGCGTCTTCTTCAACTCGAAATCCTCACTGTAACCACTCGAAGATGAGGGTGGTGGAGCAGAAGGATTGGGAGTGATTTTATCAAGTGGAATGGTAGTATGATGTCTACCCACCAAGGAGGGGAAATCCGCAACACTTCCCCCACTATCCTCACTTTCCTCCTCATCCGCATGATTGAAGTCCTTGTTGAAGTATTTTGTCTTGTAAATCAGCCATAACTCCTTAATCACCTCACAACATATTGTGCTTCCAGCATTGATTGCCATCATGCGGAGCAGAAAGACCCCATCATGACGAAGGAATTGTCGACAAAACTTTTTCACCATGAGGTTATCCTTTCGAGAGAAGAGTTCATTTAAACTGAGGTAGTGCTTGATGAAACGCGTGCGGTTGCGACGATGAGCCATTCGAAAGAACCAGAGGGGGACACTGGTAATGGTTATCACCGCGCCAAGGAGAAACCAATACCAGAGGAAGACGTAGACTCGTTCATTTAGCATATTTACGGGGAGAGCACACTGAGCGGTTACGTAGACCTGACCAGCTATATGGCGGATTGGAACAACACAGAAACCCACTCGAGGGAAGTTTAGAGTTGACTAAAAGAGAAAAAATAATCCATTATGCAATTTTCACGGTTAACTTATAACGTAATACTACAGCCTGATTTATACCTCTTCGAGTTTTAATTATGGCTCAAGGGTTTTTATTTGCTATTCATCAACAAAAAAGAGCGCATACTTAAAATATCCACGTTTGTCAGTACTGGCGCTTTTCCCTCTCCGAATTGTATTGCTTCTTCCTACGCTCCTTTTCCTTTATTATTCAATTACAAAAAAACCTGCATCCTTGACGTCCAACCCAATTCTCGATCTTCTCAGTTAGGAATAGCTTTCGCAATCTGTAAGCCCTCAGAGAGACAATTACTTTCGTAAAGCCCAACTCGATCGGATCCTGCTAGCAAAGTATTCTTCAATACGTTTTAGAAGATCTCAAATGGACAAGACATACTGGACGGGCTTTAAAAATGATTTACGTTATCCCTATCTCGAGATATGTAATTGGGTGACAAAATATATACATGATAAATGTTTAATGAAATAAGCATGTTGAAAAACAACTTACTGAGTCTCTGACATAATCCAGTTTCTCTAAACATTCTTCGTAAAGATTCGAGTTACCCACTCAGAAGTTTCATCTTCTGATAATAGTAACTGAACTATGTACTAGCAAATGAATAAATAACCTCTCATGGGCATCTTTCATGAAAATTGAGTTTGTTCACTCATGATCTTCATTCTCAGTGACCCAGATCATGGGAAGAGAGGAGCAAATTATGATGCATGACGGATATGACAAGGAATAAAGCAACTGATCACTTCGGACTTGTAAATGGAATTATTGGCATTTGCCTTTTGATCATCACGCGATTTCTCTCATCCACTTGATGACAGTACCTTGAATACTTCCCGAGTCTGTCTTTCTTACACTAACTTCGGTAAATCAAATGTAAATTCGGGAGACTACATATCCACAGACTAGAAAGACGCCTTAAACATAAAAAACGAAATTCTAAGAGGTAAAAACAGCTAGACTCCAAAAGCGGGAAAGCTTGACTCTTGACAAGGTTTTATAACACGTATACATTATTGTCAAAATGATGGCCAAACTTTAGGTAATAGCAACATACCAGTAAAAATTCTAGCAATTGGAACAATTGTTGAAGTTAAATCAAAATAGTTATTAACAAACTATTAGCAACTAAAGTATATCAGTGATCCGGATGATAAAGTCGGAGACGAGGCAGAATTTATTAAATGGTGATGATTAAAATTAAAGAGGAGTATGACGGAGAACAAGGCAGAGGACAAAAAATCGTGTCGTTTGATTGTACAGATGAAAACTGCGAGTGAAAGTAGCCAATAAAAAAAGCAGAGAAAATGTTTAACCGTGATTTGCTAACAAAAATTGCATTACTATTGATTAAGAGTATTAAGAAGTTGGAAAGGCTATCAATAAATCCCTCAATCAACACCACCTCCTCCCCCTGCGCCAGAAGGCTGTGGTGGCTGGGTATAAACAACATATGAAGACCGTTGAGAAATTGCCGAAAATGTTCAAAAACCAACTTACAATATAATAAATCAAAGTAAGCATTATGACAAAATGATTTAATAAATGGCATACCTGCCAATTCTTTCCATCAATCATATTCTTGGTCAAAGTGACGCCAAGAACACCACCATCCCTAAAATTGAGACCGATAAAGGACTCCAGGAGATAAATTTGGCCTATTGCATTGAGAATGTAGAGGAGTTTGATCAATAGGTAGATGGAGAAAAGTCGATTGCCCAGACGTTTGCCCATGTAGCAGATAGAACAGCATTTGAACAGCTTCCGGCGCACATGAGCAGATTTCCCCGTATGAATTTCACGAGTCTAAATGAAAGTAAATTTTATCATTTATATATCATGGATGATGTAGTCCAAACGCATACTTTTCAAGACGCACCTACCAAAACCCCGCCAATTTATCATATAGGCCTGTTAATATTGCATAAGATTATTCCACTTTCTAAATCTTTGGAAGAAAATGAATTTATGCAGAATGATCGACCACCGAAATAAAGTGGTTGGTCGAAAGGCACTGGATGTCGCAAACCAGATCCAGTTAAAAAAAACCTAGAAGACGAAACACAGAATTCGATTTTTGAACTTGAGACCTCCAAACGAAGAGCAATGTATGAATTGAGTCAAGAAGTCAAATTAAATAAAGCTTTTTGATTTCTTGGCTTTGCTCTCAAGGTCAAATTTCTCCAGATAAAACGAACTACTTGCATTACCAATTCCTTTTATATACCTCAAATCTACATTCGACACTCCCATTTATCACAAGCGAAAACAGATGGTGGTGACGCTCCGACACGAACTAGACACCATAAGGCAAGATTTCGTCTTTCACCAGTACTTGTCGGGGTACATTAGAAAGAACGTCCTATGTTCATGTCGGTGGGTCACGGGTTCGGTGCCCATAAGTGCACATCTAGTGATTGATTTCGCCAAACGCATCCATTAAAAAGTGGTTAAACGCTAATTCACACTTGAGGGACTCCTTAAAGTTACTTTGTTAGAGCCCAAATAGAAGAATCTCGAGAGATCACTTGAATTGAATGCTAACATTCAACACTTTAGAAAACACATTCTAAACCCTATTTACTTGAATAAATTGACCTGTTTTATAGACATCACGCATGATGGTGCTTTCATTCACATGGATTTCAATCGAAAATTGTCAGTTTTTGAAAAAAGATCCTTGAATGCCCTACTATTCGTTTGGTTTCCCATTTCTGTCTACTGTCAAATGACTTAAACTCCGAGACAGACAACTCTTAAGCGATTGTTACCACTCTGGACCACTGAGCACGTCACTACTAAGGATTTGAAAGCAGAGTATACTAGCAAACTCTCCGCATATAGGGAAACAATTGAAGACACGACCACCAACATGGATGTAAGTTGAACTAATGAGGAACCAAGAAACATGAAAGCTGCTTAAGACTTAAGCACCCATTGAGGCAAGGTGGTTACTTCTTTCTCGCCCATTATTTTCCTTGATTGACCTTTCTGACTTTCAAAATCTCGTAAATCTTGGTCTGTTTTCAGTTTATATTGTCTTGACCATAAGACGTTTTTTTTCATATATCCTCATTTCGACTACTCATCTCACACAAACCGCCATGAACCCGAATAAACAGAGCTCAGAGATGCAGGTTTGCGTTTGGCCGAGAGATTATCAATTCCTAGTGCGTCCTTAAATCATACGTCATCCTTATCGAACCGGGGAGGGGGAGGGTGTAGGGAGGTCTCCTTTTGATTTGCCAAATAATCAAGACATAAATTGTCATCAATCCCTCAGCATTTCGATCTTCGAACTTTATTAGCGTTACTATGACCTGCTTTCAAGCACAAAGTCTTTCTCCAGTTTGAAAGTCCTGAATTAATGACATTAGGTCTCATTTCTCCGAGACTGAGACAACAACAGCCGCTCGATAACCGATTGATAAATTAATCATAGCGACAGAATTACGGCCACCTAAGATTATGGCACTTTGGAAGCTTCCCGCTTTACAAAAACAACGACTTAACCAGTGAAATTGGCGGAGCAAACACTGAAAGTCTTCTTTAATTTAGCTTTCTCCAACTAATTGTGACCCATTTCAGTTTAAAAATGGTAATACCCAACAAACTAGAAGGTTCATTCGATAAATAAAGTACACATTACATGTTTCTGGGATCGATTTGTAAGAACTTTCCTGAAAGTAAATTTCTTTGTTACAATGGCCCGAAAACATTCCATAGACTAATATTGACTAATAAAAGTGCACGTAGTGAACTGCAATTTATGTTTGTGGTGGGCTTTAATACGAGCGAAAAAGGGCAGTTCAAGTTTAAGCCAAATAAACACAATGTAGCGTTTCCAATGCCTTTGCGTCTGTACTTCGGCCTTTAGGAAAGTTATCAAATTTCTTTCGTCAACTGACGTCAAAGCTATCCAGGCGGCTTAGATATGTTTTCCTACCAATTTTTGACTTTGACATTATATTTCGTAGCCAACACGGACAAATTAATATAAATAAAGGTCTTTAACAAGAAAAATGAGCCCCGTATTGCCATTGCTGATCGAAACATTGAATTTAGTTAAAAAAAAAACCAATGTGATTGAGGGACCTGGAAAACTCTCTTTTATCCTATAGCCCATAGGTAAATATGCACACTTGCGAAAATAGGGAACACGGATACGAAATCCATTAAACCTAACTTAGCGGATAGAATCAACCACGCTGGTTAAGTTTGTCAGACTAATGCAACCATAGAAGAGCGACTCTACGAGGCTACCTCTCTATGCAAGTTGAGAGGTGAAAGGAAGCTATAATACAACTATCTCAACAGTTTTTAGTATTCCGTTCATTAAGTCTCTCCGTTTTCATACAGAGTATTATACAGCCTTAAATAACCTAAATTCGGCTCTAAAAAGTATATGTTCTGGTCTAGAAAGTTAGAATAACACACTGATTATTTATCTAAAAAACTACGCAATTTGGGGTCATTTTTGTATTCCACACTTATTCACCAAAAATTTCACGATTTGGTAGCCTTAGCACGTTTTTGTGCTTCTAATTCCCCTTTCCTTATCACAATCTAGATATAGCACTCTAACATTAGCTGGGAATCATTAAAGGCATGAAATAAAGGCGTTCCAGACCTATTAAAAATACGTCAAGTACTCAAGTAATGGCACCTAGGTACAGAAATCCCAAGCGACTGGCCAAAGTAAGGGTGGTATTAGAAAATATATAAATCAGACAAGCTTTAGTCCTACTGTCAGGTGAACTATTCAAATTCCCTTATTCTTTTATAGTATTTTTTGAAAAATTATGCAATTTTCTTGGGATTTCATCACATACTGATTTTTTTTCGTTTAAAAAGCACACGTTTTTTTCAATTCTGTAATATCAAACCAAGTTAAATTTTTCGACTGGTGCACTTAATGCAGAAGAACATTCAGAAGAGGACGAATCGGGATACGGCAAAGGAGGGAAAGCTGCAATGTTATGCGGTTTTAATCCATGTCTCTCCAAATACCAATTCCACAGATGGACTAGCGTCTGTCCAACCATCATCTCTCCAGCATTAATTCCAACCATTCTCAAGATGAATTCTCCATCATGACGGATGAATTTGATGGCAAAATTCTGAATTTCATCCAAATCGAAATTGCTCTGCACACCCAGAGCAAGTACTAGACGTCTTTCAACATATCGCGTTGGCGACGCGCGCCAAAATATGTGGAAGAGCCAGAAGAAGAAACTACAAAGGGTCATTAAACCGCCAGCCAGTATCCACCACCAGAGAAACACGTAGATTCTCTCGTTAAGCATATTCACCGGCAGGGCACATTGAGCTGTAATGCCGTTCTCTCTAGCACCAAGACTTTTCAACTTGGTGTAGCAGAAAGCTGCACGAGGGAAGACCAAGGTAGCTTGCCAATCTCGTCCGCGGATAAGATCATACACCACAGCCAAACCGTAAGGAGTGGAATTAATTTTAAAACCCAAAAATAGATGCATTAGGAGGAGTTGGGCAACAGAATTGGCTATAGAGAGAATCTTTATCAAAAGGTACGTTGGACCAGCTAGGGTACTCCGATACTTAAAGAATTGATGGGTGAAAGAGGCTTTCTCTCCAGAGCTTGATGGTCTTGTTTTGAGTTTCTAAGTGATTTAAATAGATTCATTATCTAAAATCTATTGCAATTCTACACCTCACCAGAAGCTTGATTGAATTGAAGCTGCACCAGCAATTAAAAAATGTACAAGTTGGAATCAATTAATAATAAGGTGATCATAGAAAGGACAAAATAAGGAGTATTCAGCTGAATTTTATAGAGGATTAAAAAAGAGTAGTAGCTTTTAAGTATTTGAAAATCGCTACTTTTCTAGTAAAATTTAACCAGGTAATTGATTACACCGAAACTTAACTGAGAATCAGTGAAATTACAAGTCTTAATCAAGAAAATGATTCTATAAACCACTCCCAAGACATACCTTGACATTATTTCGCTAAAAAAGGTTAAAGTATGCAAAATGTAGACACCACGTCATTTAAATTAGAAATCAATATGAGTAAACTCACGTGATAAAGTAGTTGCTCAACCGACTTGGCCAAATTTTTCACCAAATCCTCTTTCTTGTCTGGCTTTGAACGACTTGCCTGATTGGCCAATGAGATAAGATGATACAAATCGGTTCCAGTTTGGTTGTAGCAGATTATTTGCCATATAACTCGAGGAATGAGAAACATGATGCACTGCAAGCCAAGCACAAACGGCACCCATTGATAGTATACTGAAATTAAAAATGCGCGAAATTGATGAGTTACTTATGTTCATTTCAGTACACTTCTAACTAAACCAATTTTTAATAAATATCATTGAATGACAAAAATGGTCTATTTGGCGACGCAAATTAGACCACTTTAGTAAATAGAAGCAATAAAGATATGCTTATTTGGTCACCGCTAACTCTGCAGCGTAACAAATTATTGAAGCATGCTATCTAAAGACATTGCGTCAATGAGAATACCAATTTATTCAAATACGAGATCTGCGAATTTCGAGGTTATGCGTATATCGTTGCCCTTGAAAGAGCACGCGGTAACACGTGAATTGCGCATATTAAGTAAATTTCAATGCGGCCTTATGATTCCAGGCTAACTTCGTCCATAGCCTGTAGAACAGCTGAGTTGTGATCGATAGCCAATAATCGAGTAAAACAATTAATCGGATGGCAGTATCAGCTGACTGTACCTTAATATAAATTTAGTTAAGATAACCTCATAAACAGGGGGCTTTTAGCTTAGAAAAAATTCCTAAACAAAAGTATGTCTAAATGGTAAAGATTTGGCAGGTCTCAACCCACAGTGAGATTACTTGTTCACGGAGAATTGATAGAGCAAACGTAAGCGTATATTCAATAATGTGAACTCTAGTCTTCACAACACTAGACAAATGATAAGGTCATACTTTAGACTGACATGCATCGTAACCACCTTATTCTATGGAAACTTAAATCATACATCTACTTACTAGACCCTATTATCTTAAAATGGGACTTAATGAGGTTCAATTCAAAATCCTCAAACTCAGCATCGAATTCCCTTTATTTGCATAGCATTCAAGACGAGTTAAAGTGAATCATAGACTAAAAATACCTTGCACACACTGCGGCTTATAGATCATAATTCTAACATTCCCATGATAATGTTAAGTAAGATTTATCTTATGTGTGGATTGAATACAAAATTTATAAAAAAAATCATTTTAAAATGTCATCTAAACTGATCAAAATCTTCTAAAATGACAGTGTTATCAGCTGCCTCTTTAACTAATCAATCCTAAATTTCAGCAAAGGTAGTCAACTATTCAGAGAATAAACATTAACAGCAACGGAAATAATTGGTCTTATCAAAGTAGCCAGTTTTATTACAACTCAATATGAGCAACAGATAATAAATGAGAAACTTGCATATCTTTCGACTTTCAAGACGATTCCAGTCTTCTTCAGTTTCTGGAACGTCACTAGAGTATGCGATTGGAATGGTGCCCTGAACCCAGCAATAATTCTCGACATAGTTTAGGAGATTCTTCCCTCCGACTTCAGTAGATATATAGCAGGAAATTGGCTTCAGAATATATTGTTTTACAGTAACCACGCTTGTAGCAACAAGGAGAACAATAACGGTAAAGATAAAATTGAATTTATCTGCAAAATCCTCCACGCCAACATAGGTGGCCACCTGCATCTTCGACGCGTAGTCCATAAACAGCTTTTGAACCATGATTTCGACTTATTGGAGACAAAAGATATATTAAGACGTTAGGATGAAGCTTAACGAATGAGCAGTTTGTTAAAAAGTACGAAATTCCTGACTTTTCCAATGAGCGGGACTCAGAAAATCATCATTCAAGCCAAGCAGATAACTGAAAGGCTGCCGGTCGGTATAAACTACGGCATTGCCGACTGACCAATCATTATCCGTGTCTTGTAACACCGTCCACTGATTGGCCAGCACAGACGAGTACTCATTGGACAGCTCTTGTCCGTTGCACTCACACCCTTCTAGAAACCCAAAGACTAACTTCTCAAGGTCTTATGTGAACTAACACGCAATTTAATGGCAAGGTTATTAGATTTCTGGTTTTCTAAGGCTTAAGTCACGAAAGGCACTCATTTGTATCAAATAGTTTCCTAAAAATAATCTGTAAAAAATGACAAAGTTTAGGTGGAACTTGCTTAAATTCACCCCATGTTTATCCAATCTTGTAATGTTTGACTTGGTCTATTTATTCATCTATTACAATTTCTCGCCATGAATACCCCTTCTAAGCTGAAGAAACTTCTCTGTACTGAGAGCTTAGGTGCTACCTTGGTGTGAGGCCTATTCGCCTTGCGCAAAGAATTCAGAGGCCTTTCCCCACACCTATCTAACTCAATTCTCTTTGATGATTCTTAGAGTGCGTTTATTTGGTTTCTTGGTTTATCACCCTTTCATGTAAAAATGCATCGTTGTGGTGCAAATTTCAGAACTATCAAGAGTTATTAAAACATGATTGATTAATTTGATAACGAGGGTTATTTTCCAATTATCAAACAAAATAGCATGGTAAATCACAAAATGTCAGAGATTTAAGCAAGAATGAAGTTTCTATAGATGGACTTAAGCAGGATTATGTTATCATTTTCTGTGACCTCTGTGTAGTCTAGAGCAAACCCGATTACAACACTAAGCAAATATCCCAGCTCAGTAAATTGTATATTTTTTTGTAGGTATTAAAGATAGGGGAAAATTTTCGAACCACGTGCTATTGGGAATTTATGGAAATCACTTCATTATGTATTCACGTATTTTTACCAAAAAAATCCCTTCACGACATTTCTCACCTCAGTTATACGCATCTTATCGATTGCAATAAGATGGTGAATTACAAAAAGACTCGTCACGATTTGCATTAAAGTAAATATGATACGTTGAGGCGGTTTTATTTCAAAAGTATTGATTTGTAAGGATTAAATTTCTGTGCTTCCTTTTACTCCAGGATAAAGAAAGAAAAAAAGCAAAATTTCACTTATAGACTGTAGTCAAGCTAGAACATATAGTTAACTTGGGAAGACACAATTATCGCATCAGCTTCTGGGCTTCCTTAAGGTTTAATTTATCTGACGTAAGCAGATATCGATTTTCGATATTTTAAGTGAATCTTCTCATCGAGACCTATACACTGCAATATCATTTTAGCCGACTTACGAAAAAGTTTTAAATTAGTCCATGAAATTAAAAGTGTCCACTGCAAAAAGCAAAATGAGCTAGAAAGAACCCACTTCTATTAAGAAAAAGAGATCAAATGAATGGCAATCAAAGAGGATTGCTTTTACAGTATTTATTGATTAACCTTCTCAATTTACGGAAAGCTGAGAAATTGAGCTTATTCGCATTTCATTCTCCATATGACTTTGACGCCAGAGTGAAACCTTGTTGAAATTTAATACGATAGTGAATCTAGATTCGACGTTGGACGCCAATATGACGAGAATATTTAGGCCAATAACAGGAACGAATTACTTAGTACATTTGGCGTCGGTAAGCGCTTACCACACCGCTGTCCATTGGGGGAACCAGAGCCCGATAATTTAGCTCAATTTAACTGGTTGGCCATGTGGTGCATGAAGTGGTGTAGCGCACGTCACTGTACTCTTTGTGACTCATTATCGAAATGCGTCATTAGAGATGCAAGTTACCGGCATGCATTCACCATACGCAAACGTCGAATCAAACAAAGCCTGAAAATTGGTGCGGTGGGAGCTGCTTAAGTATTAAATCCCGATTGGACAGAAGCAACGATCAAAATTCTTGGCTTAATTTATGTCATTAAAAGGGTAGAAAGTAGGCCTGATAGTTTAATATGTGAAAAAGCTCAAAGACTTACGCCTATCAGCGCTTGGTCCAAATCAAAAACTGAACTTGCGTGTGCTCAACTGCATGCTCTCACAACTCTCATGATGAGGTTACCACGGCGTAACGGATTTTTTCACATTTGACCTCTGTTTAGAAACAGCAGCAGTTTTGGAGGTAACGTGTGTCTCTACCTCTCTTGTGAAAGTAGAACTTCGGGTTTGTAGGTTAAAGCTGTGAGAAATCACGGCCTCAAGAGATAGAACCTTCCTGAATCGTGTTTTTTTTAATACCTTTAAAGCGAGCCTCAGTTCTTCACGTTGATGACTGAAAAGAGTGTCACCGTGCAAGAACAGTTGATATCTATCAAGCTAAGTATACAATAATGGTAGAGATAGGTGCTTTAAAATATCCTTCGGAAGTCACAATTTGCTGTCAGGTTTTTCTCCACTTGCACTTATGCTGAGGTTGGAATATTGAAAGTCTTATTTTCTGTGAATTCTGGGAGAATTGAGTTGCTTCATGTTTTTATATTACGTAATTTAAATGTCAATATCCGTGAGCCCAAAAGATCAATTTACATTATTTAAACTCGGAATTTTGAGTTGAGTTCCTGTCCTCCGGTTGAAAGACTTATAGACAATTTCTTTTGCTTCAATGACTACTTCTTTTACAATCTCATTAAACTATGAACGTGTTGATGCGAATATAAGCATAGCAAGTATCCCTAGTTCAACAAAGTTCGAACAATTTGGAGATAGCGAACCTTGCAAAATTTTGTAGCATCATTAAAACGTACTTAATTTTTAAGCACTTTCAAATGTATGTCAACATACTTGCCTCAAGTTATTTGTGAGTTCGTTTTAGTTAGTTCTTGATTCCTAAAATTGCACGATCATCTATCTTGGTGCGATATCAGTCAAATTGTGAACTGTACCAGATCTCAGTTAAACAAGGGTCGAAGTTGGACTTTGATACTGCTAAATGAAATTGAATTGATTAGCCAAATCTCAGTCAACTACCTCTTTCTAAAATTCCATATATTTAAATGAAAAATAATTTTATAAATTTGCCCTCCCCTTCCATCTCTGTTCTTGCCAAATGTTGTAATTAAGGACTTGGGAAAACTGACCAAAATCCTGATTTCAGCGACCCTCCAAACACGGTCAGATTGCCAGAAATATGCTCTAAGGTAAATTATTAATATTCACTAATGTTAAATCTTAGAACCCCTCTTGGCTCGGCGCATAACACAAAACCAGCAAAGTAAGAATTTACTGAAATTTATTTCTTATAGATTGATTCAATAAGAGTTTCTAGAAATAGAGATAAACATTTGCTACTGAAAGTTTCTCATTACGAAAATAGTAGCTCCTAGCTCAGAAAGGCAAGGTAATCACGGTCGTTCACACGGAACCAAAAACAATATAGGTGGTTGAGTACAGTTTGAGTTGAGAGTTAAGTTCGCACATGTAGAAAAAAGAGAAGAAAACGAGACTTCACAACAATCCACAAGGGCATCATCTTTAACATTGGAACCAATTGTGCATTGAGGAAAATGGGTAGAGGGGGAGGGAAGGCCGGGGATTTTGAGCATTAGGGTGAGGGCGAAATTGGATCGGAAGGAGATTATACAATGGATCTGGGCACTTGAGGGTACGGGACTTCATTCATGGGGTCGACTGGGGCTACATCTGGATTTCGGTTTCGTACTGCAGTGTCACCACCTTTCTTCAATTCAGTATTCCACCCAGAAACTGAAGGACTATTTGTGAATCTATTTCTATTTGTTTCTAAACGACCAAGATAACGTTTCCAGAGGACATTGACAACTCCTGCAGTAACCATATCACCCGCATTCAGTCGCACCATTCGAATAAGGAACATTCCATCACTGCGGAGGAATTTAAAAGCGAAGTCGTCCACATCATCAATGTTGTAGCGGGGAATTTCTTCAACGAATTGAATGTATTTGATAATGTAATCAACCTCACGTTTTTTAGCACACATTCTGAAGATCCATATAAAAAGATAGACGGCCGTAATTATCACACCAGCAAGAATCCACCACCAAAGGAAAATGTACAGCTTTTCATTGAGCATATTAACAGGGAGAGCACATTGAGCAGTAACGCCATTAACTCTAACACCGAGAATCTTTAACTCTGCATAGCAGAAACCAACACGAGGGAATATTTGAGTCATTTGCCAATCATGACCATTGATCATATTGCGAAGAACACTGAGACCGAAAACGGGACTTGATGTGGCATTGAAACCGAGGAAATGTTGCATTAGGAACATCTGTCCAAGACCATTGATTAGGTAGAGTATTTTGATGAAGAGGTAGGAGATGACAATGTAATTCCCACGACGTTTGGACATTATACGAAGGTTTGAGGCTTGGGCACCCATATTTTGGCGAATACCATTTGAACGTACGAGCATATTTTCACCTTCAGAGTCTGTGCCACTTCGACCTCCATCAAAGGTACCTCTCTTGCTCAATTTCGCTCGCTTTTGGCACTAAAATAGAAGAAATTACTTTACTTTCATGACTTACATACTCTTATCTCTTAAGTGTACCAATATTGTCCGAGATTGCGTAGCAAGTGATCAAAGGTCACGAAAGCAAGGTATATGCAAGACAAGACTTTTGACTTACTTGGAAAAGGAGATCTTCAATAGCAGCTGCAGTATTTTCAATAGCTCCCTTGCGGCTCTTTTCATCGGCATGCATAGCTGTCATTGCCTGGGAAACCAGATTTTCCAGATCTGTTCCAGTGCGGTTATAGCATATTGCCTGCCATATTAGACGTGGAACGTAGAAAAGACAGCATTGAAGACCAAGAACAAAGGGAACCCACTGATAGTAAACTGTTTAAAAGAAAGAAGACCCACATTTAAAACATATTTTCTCATAGCATTCAGAGATCTGGCTTTGGGATCTAACCCCTAATTAAATCAAATAACAGTCACGACTTTGGGACAGATGATATTGTGAAATTAATTAAAGACCGAAGCATATTCCCAAACATGTCTTAACGAATTTATTTCAAGGCACAAGTATTAATCGAATCGCCTAAGCGATCATGACGATGACTACTGTGCAATATGTAGCTAAAGCAAAATCACTAGTATTGTTTGTTTACAAAATTTCCAAACACCTAAATGAGTCTTTTCCCAATTTAAAAAAACTGAAACTTTAACTTACGAATTTTAACGTTTTCTAGTTCAGCCCATTCTTCGTCGTTGGAGGGCATTTTGTTGGAATAAGAGATGGGAATTGTCCCTTGAACCCAACAGTAGTTTTCAACATAATTTAGGAGATTTGTTCCGCCAACTTCGGTTGAAATATAGCAGGCAATAGGCTTAAGGAGATAGCTTTTGGCGGTTATAATAACAGTGCAGAGGGAAATAACAACCACAGTGAAAATGAAGTTGAATTTATCGGCAAAGTCTTCTAGTCCAGCGTATGTGGTCACCTTAAATTTGGTGAGATAATCAATGAACGTCGATTCAATCATCGTTTCGGCCTCTTTTATGGAGTTACTGAAAGGTGATAATAAAGAAACGAAATCAATAAAAATTGATCATCACTACTCGATTCGTAATACTCCAGTGCAATATTTAATCGTTGCTTTAGGTTTCTAAGTTAAAGGAAAGTGGGTGCAAAATAAATCGATGCTAAAATGCCGCTTAATGCCAGAGAGATTTACCCACCTGTGACTATAACGTCAAACCTAGTAAAAAATCGATAAAAAACCGCATCTTTGCCCATTCACAAAAGAAGATTTTGCTTTAGATAGCATAAGTCATTCTAATATGCTGTTCAAATGCATTCGTCAATGTTAGATTGACTGAGAGGATTTGAAAGATCATATAAAAGCGTAGTTAAAACGAGGTACTGGGAATTGGGAGAACGAGATTATACTCATATGAACGAATATAGAAAAATACTTCGTAAGAAGTCAATAAATTAACTATCATGCAATAATTAGCTTTACTCGTGTTTCAAACTAACTTAATTACGAGCCATGCTGTCTTTTCAAACCCAATTTTTAAGTATACCAAATGAAGACTTTAAAATTAAGCACGTTTATCACTATCAATGTTATAAAACACAGTGCGAATAGGCATAGTCATGTTTAGTACATAAAACGGAATTGACTGGTGCGCAACAAATAAAATCATAAGGATGAAAATATTGTGCTTATGATTAAAATCAGCGATGAAAGAGAACATGCTTACCACCCGGCGTGTAAAAATTATGTGTTACCTTGTTTGAGTGGAGCTTCTAGTATAATTGCGTTTGTGTGCCCTCTGATTGGCCATCTGGATTAATCAATCAGAATCGAGTCCACGCAGCACTAATCGCGTGCGAGTGGCAAATCACATTTCGTGCGTACCGTTATGCATCAGTACCTAACTTTGCTCATAGTATCTCCTAAGAATTTCGCCTCTGTCATCATTTATTACTATTTATCATCATAAAAAGTAATTCTTTATTTCTCAGTAAGGCTTTGAATTGAGAGTCTTGATATCAGGCTACAATCGTCACTTCTTAGACAACTTCACTTGGAAAAGATCGCACTAACTGTTTGCTGAATAGTACAATCCTAATTCTATTTAAAAGCTTAAAATTATTTGTTTCATAATTCAAAATGGGTCACGTAGAAAAGAAATGGGCAGCCCTTCATTTAATTCATCTCAAATCTGCTAATTACTAAACTTAACTAAAAGCAATTATTTTTTCTTGTATACGTTGGCGTAATTCTATCAGAGGTAAAGTGATTCTCACTTTTTTATTCAAAATCAAGGTGGAATTTCCGTCAATCCGATCGCTCTGAACTCATCCATCTACCAATAGAAAATTTCCAATTTGTATTGTCTAAAATATCCAATCAAGGATAAAACGAAGCGCGTCTGTTAAGCATTGGCCAGCTAGATCGCCTAGTCGAGTGATGCAACCGGACAGTTGGAGCGAAGCTGTATATCCGCCCAGCGGCATGCGCAAGTAGATTTTATTGGCCAAGTCAAATCAGCGTATTTGTTTTAAGCAGCCTATTTGTTCACTGGTTTTAGTAACCGTCGGAAAAAATTTTCCTACTAAGTTAAGTAAACTCAGTTTCAAAGATCAATGAGGCTGACAACATGACCATACTTAATTCCTCTATATTGTATTAAAATAAGCCCATTAAATTGACGATATTTCCAAACCCCAAAACAAGGTTAATAGTTTGACTTAGTTAATTAGATGGGGATATATAGTTTTTTTCCATAAATCTTAAGCCATTGTACTATAAAGCGCTGGTTAGTAAAATATGAGTAGTATCACGAATTTTATTTTTAACTGACTGACTTTTCTAAGTGAACTTCGCAAGGGAGCCTCCTTCTAGGTATGTAAACACCTTATGCTTTTATTTATTAAATTAACCAGTCATTTGGCGAGGACGAATACAGATGGTCAATCAAATCAAACTTAAGGTGACTTGATACAGATTTGAATTAACCCTATTACTTACCATAACACAAGTGAATATAAATTATTCACAAAGAAGAAGAACCCTTTTTTACCCTTAACAATCGGTAACCAAATGTGAGATTAATTATGGATGCAAATCTGGGTTCCTCTAGGGCTCAAATTTGCAATTACCATAGGAGTGCATAAAAAATACAAATTCAAGAAAGCTTAGTGGAAATTAGCATATACTCACCTATCGTCTTCACAATCGCTCATTGCCTGAAGAAGAACCGAGAGTTTGAACGGTCATACGAACAGCTCCTCCAGAGTAAATAAACCTCTCTTCTAGTGGACTTGGCTTAAAATGATTCCTTAAGAAATTGTGCTCGGTGATATTTTGCGTAGTTTTACTAAATTAAACGCATTTAGAGTGACGTTTTTAAGCTCAGTTATAAGGTTGTTAAAAATGATGAGAGACGTGCTAAATTTGAAGTCTTTTCGTAAATTGGAAGTCGTCACTTTGCCATTGTTCTTAATAGTAGTTCTAATAAATTTATTTCTTGCATTGAATTTAAGTCTCTTGCAATACCTAGTGCGAAATAAAGTGTATTTGATTAAAGCGGGCAGGCCAAGCTAATTTGAGAAGGTAAGTAACAGAGGTCATGAAGGCCATGGAGAAGGAGACGTCAATGCACCAATAGTCGTAGTAATTTGAAATCTGGTTTCATTGGTTTGATTTTTTTGTTGGGATTATGTTCGGCATATTGAGAGACCATAGACCAGTCGATTTGATAGGCGAAACAAGAAGAAGAGAAAGAAGAAGATGATGATGTAGATGAAGATGAAGCTAAAAGGGGGTTGAAGGGTACAAAATGTAATAGATGTGAAAAAAAATCAATAGATAAGGCGAGTACACAATTGTCAAGGGTTCAAGTTAAGATAACTGTCTATGGTGTCTATCAACGTCATTGAATTATTTTCTAATTAAGACCTTTTTAAAACATAGGGTGACATCAGATCACCTTCAGCAGAAGAGAAATGCACATCCTAAAACTATAGCATTTGAAAATTTAGTCGGCATGACTCGATGAATAGCCCTTGTGTTCTGCGCAAGTCTTTCTGAAGTTCAGGCTGTTGTGGTTTTGATTTTGGTGAGGGTGTTTTCATAGCAAAAGAAACAGATTATTTATTCCTCAGCAAGTTGGCCTCATTTGTTGATGCGAAGGTCTACATCGAGCACATTTTCATGGTAGAGGTCGGAAAATCTAGTCTTTGGAACTACAGACCCATCCAATTTACGATCCGATTGGGTCCTACAAAGCCACTCGGATCAGATTGTCCATTGTGTAGCTTTTTTCTAGCCACAGCAGTTTCGTTGTCTCCATTACAACTCTGCAGTTCATGCCGATTTGCTTCCATGGTGTTGATGGAGCACTGAGGATCGACCACAATGTCTTCGACCAACTAATTGCTGGTTAATTTTATCGATCGTCTCAAAGGACGACACAGAGTAGCCATTAACTTTTAGTCACGAGATAACTTTATTAAATATTGACTGAGGAACTTATCTCTTCAATTCTAGTTTCAGGTTGTTTCACCAGCTATTCCACAACATATCCTTGGTAGAACATTTTCCTATTACGCAAGGGGCAAAGAGTTGCCTTCTACGGACACAGTACCATTGACGGGTTTCGTCTGAAAACCAAGGTGACAGGAAGTTGAAAAGGTTTGCCTGCTAAGAGAGAACTCATGGGATAAATACTCATCGGAGTACATTCAGTGACATGGATGAATTTTCATAATTCCAACAGGACTAATAGAGAACTTAGAAGTGTTTTCAATAGCTTCCTTGATGAATTTTTAGCTAATAAAAAAGAAGATCAAAGAAGTGTGGATAAAACTAATAAATTCCACTATTTTTCACCTCTACAAACTAAACTACCACAAGATTAAGGGGAAGAATAAGCAGTAGTCGATTAGCTCAGGTAGGAGAAAACACTCGCTTTGCTAAGCCTGGGAGTAAGGCAAAATATTTATTTTATAGATAAAAGGGATAGAGCAAAATCTACCTCTCAGCCTGAATGAGGCAACATTTCAAAAAGTATTTTTACCTCTCCCGTTGCCAGTGGAGAGGAGAGTGGGATCAGACAGGTTATGGAACATGTGCACTAAAGTGGGTGTGGACAAACCCCAGTGACGTGGATCGGGCTCATATGCGTATATCTTCGAAACTCAAGCACTTTGTGATGCTATGCGAATATGTAAATTCGACCTCTCGGAAATAAGCCACGCGAAATGCACACACACGGGCGCTTTTCTGGAGTTTGAATTAGCATAATGGTCCTCAAGCTGGTGATTTAGAATTTGAAATTTACTTGAAATTTTTTCCAAACACGTTTTGCTCAGAAAATTGACTAAGAGTGTGATCTGTTTGACAGCGATGGTCAAGCAAGATTTATATTTTGCTAAGCTTATTAGCATTATCGTAGATGGTCTACGTCTATGGTTTGAGTATGCAAACTCAAATCGTTTAACCTAAAGTTGGAGGTAATAGGAGGGGAATGCTGGAGTAATCTTGGATAGAGAAAGGACGACTTGAAAGCACTCGAATCATGGGAATGAATAACTTATATCATGATAATTAAAGCTGACCATCAAAATGAGGACACTGTGTTTACTGCTAAATGGTTCCTCAATACGATGAAAACGATTCGGCTCGAAATGGATAATTATAATGGAAATTGCTTGACTGTTGTGACTAAAGTAACGACATAATAGACAGGTGTTTTGAATGTGGCCTACTCTGTCGTCGAGAGTGGAGTGAACAATGTGCCGCCCCTTGTCTGAATTGGGACGTTGATAGACACCATTGACAGTTATCTTAACTTGAACTATTGAAAATTGTATAATTGCCTTATCCATTGCATTTCTTTCGCATTTATTACATTTTGTGCTTTCCAACTACTTTTAGCTTCTTCTTCTTCTTCTTTCGCTCGTCAAATTTCCTCAAGCACCCTGTATATAATGTATAATGTTATTGTTTCGTGGCACTAAGTATTTCATTTTAACACCATTTGCTTATTGGATTATTAAATTAACTTGTAGAGTAGCAGAAGTAGAAGTAGTAGTAGTAGTGTCATCTTAATCTGAATTAGATAAGAGTTGGTCTCGCTTTTATTTCGTGCCTTTACTCCAAAACCGTAATTTAATGTCATTACGAAGGGGTATTCGTGAATGTGTTTAAAAGACAAGAAGTGCAGAAGAGTGGAAGGTAAGATTGACGGAGTCGGCATATGCGCAATGAATTGTGGTGAAATACACATGACATATGACCCAGCAACACCTAGCACACACTTATTCATTATATCGCCGATTCACCGCCTTAATCGATATATATATATATATATATATATATATATATATATTGTGCAGTAGATGAAGTTGAAGAAATACGTAAATTTATGAGGTAATTAAAGATTGAATATTAATTTTCTGTGCCCCACTTAGTGATAGAACGAGCCAACTTTATATTTGAACGAGAGCTAAATACTAACATTTCTTCTACAACTAAATGCACTAATTATTGATCTTTGACTAGACACTAATTTGGAAGCTCCGTCGTCTTTTTTTCGCTTTGCCAAATCTGTAAATCGAATTCGTTTCGATTGCAATATCATAAATTCAAAACTAGCAATTTAGTGAAACTGGTAAAAACTTGATCAGCAATTAAGTGAACTTTGTTTGTCTTTTAGCCGAGAAGGCTTCTGCAAGCACGTTCGCACATTCCAGAAAATTCAGTGCCCTCGAAGTTCTCTCCATCAGTCTTGGTGTGGCTGCCGATTCTGAGGACACACGGTAGGTCTGGGAAACGCAGCCTTCAAGGTCATTCGCATTCTCAAGCACTGGTAATAATAAATAAATTTAAATTTCAAACACGTTCCTTCTTTATCAGAAAAAACCGACTGCAATCCAGGGGACGATTTGTGAAATATGAATTTTTAAGTCTAATCACATTTTTAGTAAATTTTTTTATAAATTGAGTCCCTAAATAGGACTGAATTATTAAACCTGTGGGCTTGAGTTATCCCGATCCTTCTTAATAGATTTTACGGTGATTATAATGTGTACTCCTGTAACGAGCCAATAGCATCTTCAATCTCGAACAACTAATCTCTGAATTCTGAAATTCGAATTTCACGGCATGAAATGCCTATTAAGTAAATGTAGTCAAACCGGAAACCAAAAAAATTCACCCTCGTCACTTTTTTATTCGTTTGGATGCTGCCAATCTTTTGGAGTTGCTACTCACAGTAAAAAACTATAATTTCTCATGCATTTCGGAACAAAAATTACAAAAGTAAAATTAAAACTCGAAAAATAGGCAAGGAGATATTTCACATTAAAAATGAGTATTTCAGCAGCTACAATCATTTAATTTGAGGGATTTCAATAATAATTTTATTAGCACAACGTTAGTAAAGCTTTATTGGAGCTTAACATTGCCTTTTATGCTAGTGCCACTTTTCTGGAAACAACCACTCCATTGGCACACAATCGTTAAAATATGTCGTAATTCTATTTACGTAATAAGCATGTAATTAATCCAACAATACGCAGCGGAGATATAGGCGTTTCTTTTAAACTTTGACAGGAGTGATAATGTATTAAAACTAGGTTATCGATTGCGCTAAAAGTTGAAGACGCGCGTCGAAAGGGTTGTGCAAATTTCAGGTATTGGTGAATGGAAAAATAAAGGCTACGACTTTGAACTGACGCGAAATTTAAAAATTTATTTAGAGAAACTGCATATACTCCTCACTTGGTTTGTGGGAAGGCAACTAGAAGCCTGCCTAAAGAGGCAGAAATACGTATACTGTAACATCTCTAGCTGACCAGAATTAATACCATTATAGCCCTTCTCATAATCGAATATGCATCTATGAAGCATTACTTGCCTATGTCTATGCAACTACTGTAACAATAAAACGGTCTTGAAGTGCTCGTTTCTGCCTCTCTTGTTATTCTCAATATTTGTGTGCGTGTGATTATTAGTCAACATTTAAGGACGTGATTCATTTTGATCTTCTCAAATATAGTGGGGAATGAATTTCAGCTATGAATGGATTATAAAATGTCTTCAATTTCAGTGAAGGAAGTGCTAACTGTACTTGAATTGAGTAGAAAGAGACTCGTTTAAGAAAAGAATTGTTTTCTACTAACCCACCCCCCCCCCCCCCACCCCCC